TAAGGAACTTATAACCTAACTTAGGGTCCTTATAACCCAATTTAGGGCCCTTATAACTCTACTTATAACTAGGGGGCCCCACCCTGTAGAGTCCCTAAACCCTAAACCCTAGACCCTAAACCCTAAACCCTAAACCCAAAACCCTAAACCTTAAACCCTAGACCCTAAACTATCTACCCAAGTAGCCCAAACTCACTCCTAACTAAGCCCTTGAGGTCCCTTATAAGGGTTTATAGGGTTTAGGTTTATAAATATACCTGAGCCCTACAGGGTGGAGCCCCCTTACTATACTAACTGTAGTTAAGGGACTTATAACCCAACTTAGGGTCCTTATAACCCAATTTAGGGCCCTTATAACTCGACTTATAACTAGGGGGCCCCACCCTGTAGACCCTAAACTAAACCTCCAAACGTCGCAGGAGTGGTTTGCCGAACTGCTGCAATCCTCCTCGGATCCCGGGCCGCTCTGGCCAGCCAAAGCAGCTTGGATCAGGGTTTAGGGTTTAGGTTTAGGGTTTAGGGTTTAGGGTTTAGGGTTTAGGGAATTTGGGGTATCCGAAACCGATTTGGACGCTGAGGTGAGCTCGGAACAAGATGCTGTGGATCTTGCCGGAATCTGTGCACACGAAGCAGAGAATCAGGACCATAGGGTGTTGGAATAAACCCCTCAACCCTAAACCCTAAACCCCTAAACCCCTAAACCCTAAGCCCTGAACCCTAACTCAGGGTTTGTGGATCTATACCTTAGGAACCCTATTTCCCAAAGTAGGGGTACCCCGTTAATACCCCAAACAGAACAGAATCCCCTTACAGGGCGCTAAACCCAAAACCCCAAAACCCCAAAACCCTAAACCCTAAACCCTGAACCCTGAACCCTAAACCCTAAACCCTAACCCCTCTCCCCCAAAAAAAGATATAAACACAAAAAACTCACCAATATTTTCGGAACCCCATATATATATATATATATATATATAGCCTGTCATCCTGCACTCCTCCTCTCACGCCCTGGCCCAGCCTGAAGCCTATACAGGGTTTAGGGTTTACTGGGTTTTGTAGTACTATACTTTAATACTTTTTTGGGTTCTGGGTTCCTACTATAGATACTTATACCTAAAAAGTGTATGCTTTTTTTCCAGGGTCTACTCTAAAGGTGGGTTTAGGGTATAGGGTACACATAGCTCATTTCATCCCCCACCAACATACCTCGCCGATCAACAGAACCTTTGGTGTTTCCTTCTTTAGTAGGAAGATGAGGTTTTACTTGCTTTATTCCTAGGCTGTTGGAGGAGGCGAGCTGTTGTTGGGTAACTTGGGGAACATACCCGAATCCACCTGAAGAAGCCTCTTCAAGATCCACAAGAACTCCCAAGCCTGGAGATTCTGGCACTATCTTCGCCTTTGCGAGTTTAGGATAATTCGGGTTTTTTAGGGTTTAAGGGGCTTAGGGGTTTAGGGGTGTAAGGGTTTAGGGTTTAGGGTTTAGGGTTTAGGATGACAACCTCAAATCCTGAACCTGAAGGGTGTAAGATTCAAGCCTAAACTCTAAACCCTCAACCCTAAACCCGAAACCCAAACCCTAAATCCTAAACCCTAAACCCCAAGATTCAGGACGATGCCTTTCTGCAGCAGAGGCGACGGACGGGTGGTGTGCCGCGGTCGAAGGCTGCGCTGAAGCATCACGAGGTGCCTGGTTGAGGGTTTAGGGTTTAGGGTTTAGGGTTTAGGGCTAGGGTTTAGTGTTGAGGGTTGAGGGTTCAGGGTTCAGGGTTTAGGGTTTAGGGTTTAGGGTTTAGGGTAGGGGCCCAAACGGTCCTAGGTACCTGTATGGGGGACACTTACCCAAAGCAGAATAGTTCTGTAATTCCTATTGTAGAAGCCCTACCTTCTACTATGAAGGTACTTAGGACCCTTTGGGGAGGTTGGAGGTCTGAAGCGTGAAGCGCTCAGGTTCCTTGTTTGGCCTTAGGACTGAGAAGGGGTTTCGTACTTGCACCCCAAACCCCCTCCCCCGAACCCTTAAACCCGTAAACCCCTAAACCCCAAATCCTAAACCCTAAACCCCTTAACAAAAAGCCGTAAACCCAAAAAGCCTTACAGCCCTCAACGAAATCCCTAAACCGGAAAATCCCGAAAGTCCACCCCTCTACAAACCCTAAACTAACCCTAAACCCCCTTCGAGGTCTACTGCCTGGCGCCCACTGCAGCAAGGGAAGCGCTGCGACCGGGAGCACAAGCAGTGGCCACTGTGGACTCGACTCTTCGCTGGTTATAGGGTTTAGGGTTTAGGGTTAGAGTTTTAGGGTTTAGGGTCGCTCCCTAAAGTTTTGGATCTCGCATGTGGGGTTCAGGGATCTAGGCCTCCAAGTATACAAGTGGGAGGGTTTATGAAAATAAGGGGCCCGTAAATATGGACTCCCAAATAGTAGAATCCCCTTATAAGCAAGACCATAATAAATGACCCCTGTTTTCCCTAAACCCTAAACCCTAAACCCTAAACCCTAAACCCTAAACCCTAAACCCCCAACACATATCCCGAGTTTGTGAGAAGACAGGAATGCCCCGGCTCCACCAGTTGTCAGATGAATTCGGTTCTCTTCCGCCGAGCTGGTCTAGTTAGAATCGCAATGTTTAGGGTTTAGGGTTCAGGGTTCAGGGTTGAGGGTCGAGGGTTTAGGGTTTTCCTCCTTTGGAATTTAAAGTTTAGAGTTGTGGGTGCGCTTGCTTGCGTACGGGACAGAATTTGGATCAAACCCCTCCTGTCCTTTTGAGGACTCCGGTCTACTTGAGGGCAGATGTCGCGCACTTGCACACAAGCATCCTGGCAACCTCAAGCCCTAAACCAAAAACCCTAAACCCCCAACCCTAAAGCCCTAAACCCCCAAACCCTAAAACCCTAAAACCCTAAAACCCTAAAACCCTAAAACCCTAAAACCCTAAAACCCTAAAACCCTAAAACCCTAAAACCCTAAAACCCTAAACCCTAAAACCCTAAAACCCTAAAACCCTAAAACCCTAACACCCTAACACCCTAAACCCAAGACGCCTTGGAGAGTCTACGGTCGCCCTTTGGGAACCTGGAGGTCCGTGATACTTACTGTAGAACCCGACCAGCGAGGCCCCCCTTGCCTGAGGAATACGATGGGGGTCGGAATATCTACTCATGGCACTTCCTTATGTTCTCTATAAAATTCTACTAGAACACACCCCCCCCCTCCCCCCCCGCAAGAAAGAAAACACACACTATTCACAGCATATTAATGCCCCGATAGTATACCTTAGATCCTTCAGACGTGCCTCATTTCAGGGCTAGTAACAATAAGACAAATACTTTCGAATATCATAGTATGCATAAGACAACAAGATTAGCAACAAGACTATCAACAGTTATGATAAACACATTTCGGGGCTTCAGGTGTTGCAGAGTCACGGTCGGTGGAAGGTGTAGAAAATGCCCCTGGCCCCAGGCTTCTGCTCCGTGTCTTTTTGTTTTCGGGCCTTCGAGGCTTCTGCTTTCTCTCTTCTGCCCTGTGTTCCCAGCCCTAAACCCGACAGACCCGAAACCCTAAACCCTCAACCCTCAACCCTAAACCCTAACCCCTAGACCCTAGACCCTAAACCCTAAACCCTAAACCCTAAACCCTAAACCCTAAACCCTAAACCCTAAACCCTAAACCCTGCAGACCTTGGAACCAGAAGCCTGAACCCTGAAAGCCTGCAGCCTACACAAGGAACCAGCATCCCAAGCAACCCTGGACACCTCAGGCCCCGCTTTGAGGAGAGTTTAGGGTTTCTTGGGTTTCTTGGGTTGTTAGGGTTTTTTGGGGGCTTTAAGGGTTTTTTGGGCGTTTTTTTTTTTTTTGGGGGGGGGGGGGGGTTAGGGTTTTCAGGGCTTTCAGGGTTTTAGGGGTTGTTAGGGTTTTGGGGGTTTTAGGGCCCAGAAGAGCTCAACACCCAGGCACGGAGTGGGCGCGGCGGGGCAGGTCTGTGCGTTCGGGCGAGAAGCCCTTCCGGCACCTGAGTTCCCGACGCTCGGCGTCCGTTTGAGGGAGGTTGCCAAGCAACTGAAACCCGAAACCCGAACCCCTAACCCTAAACCCTAAACCCTAAGCCCTAAACCCTGCAGAAACGTTTTAATAAGCCTCATGGAGCCCTTGAAAACCCTTGGAATCTCGTTCGCAGGCTGGGGTCTGGACATTTCAGACGGTTTTGGGCCATAGCCCTAAACCCGAAACCCTACACCCTGAAGCCTAAACCCTTAACCGTAATCCCGGGCTTCTTCTGGTTTGTGCATCCGCGTTTTCGTGTGGCTTTGATCAGGCTGCCGCCGGACATGTTCTCCCGAACATATTTGCCCTCAACCCTAAACCCTAAACCTAAACCCTATACCCTTCCGATCCCCAGTCCTCTTCATTACCTTCTGTTCCGGGAACGCTTGGCGTTGATTTGGGATGGTTGTTCCCGAAACCCTACAACCCCAGACATATAAGCCCTAACGCCCAAACCCAAACCCCAAAGGGTTTGGCGGCTCCAGAGGTTCTGCAGCTCAGGCCAGTTTCTGCAGCAGGGAAAGCGACCCGGGATCCTCGCAAGAGTTCCGCTACGAAACCCTAAGCCCTAAACCTTGGGCAGTTCGCATGGGGATACTGAAGCGAAGCTTTCGGCTCAGACATTGCCGGGCCTTCTTCGTGCAAGTATCGCTCAACTTTTTCGCACGATAGGAGATTTGAGTGATTCTATAGTAGAAGAAGTAGTAGTAGTAGTAGTAGTCGTAGTCGTAGTCGTAGTAGTAGTCGTAGTAGTAGTAGTAGTAGTAGTAGTAGTAGTAGTAGTAGTAGTAGTAGTAGTAGTAGTAGTAGTAGTAGTAGTAGTAGTAGTAGTAGTTGTAGTAGTAGTAGTAGTAGTAGTAGTAGTAGTAGTAGTAGTTTTCCTGAGCCCGATCCCTGGGCCGCTCTATAGGCGAAGCCACGTAATTTCGCGTAATTTGTGCTGCGCGCAACATGTCGATTGCGGTGGAAGTTGGACTGCTGAGTGGCAAGACAGCCACTGTGAAAACAGGACCGCATGAAGCGGTGGCAGCATTGGAAGTTCGAGCGCAGGCCGCGCTTCACGTCGAAGAGGGTCGGCTGGTGGACTTGGCTGGAGGTATTCTCGATGCACATGCGCTGGTCAAGGATGCAAATGTGAAGAATGGTGATTCACTAACCTTACTGCACATACAGGACGTTCAACTTCAATCTTCTCTGTGCTGTTTTGCCGCCATTCGCCGGGACGGATCTGTCGTGACCTGGGGTGGGGTGTTTAGCGACATTCGTCCTGCACAGGATCAGCTGAAAAATGTTCGGGCGGTCCAAGCCACTGGCGAAGCTTTTGCTGCTATTCTTGAGGATGGATCTGTCGTGACCTGGGGTGTCGGTGTCGTTGGTGGTGACAGTCGTGCTGTACAGGATCAGCTGAAAAATGTGTGGCAGATCCAATCCTCATTGGCCGCCTTTGCTGCCATTCGCGACGACGGAACAGTTGTGACCTGGGGTGACGCCTACTTCGGCGGCGACAGCAGTGCTGTGCAGGATCGTCTGAAGAAAGTGCAGCAAATCCAAGCTTCTGGCTTTGCTTTTGCCGCCATTCTGGACGACGGATCCGTGGTGACCTGGGGAAGGCCCCATGCTGGTGGTTGCTGTAAGGACGTGAAGGATCAACTGAATCATGTGCAGCGTATCCAAGCCACTCAGCATGCGTTTGCGGCCATTCTTGCCGACGGGTCCGTTGTGACCTGGGGTGATGATGCGCATGGTGCTGACAGTCGAGCTGTGCAGCATCGTCTGAAGAACGTGCAGCAGATTCAAGCCACTCAGCACGCATTTGCTGCCATTCTTGGCGACGGATCGGTTGTGATCTGGGGCAGCTCAATGAGGTGCCATCTGGATGTGCAGCATCGGCTAGCAAATGTGCAGCAAATCCAAGCCTCCGAACACGCGTTTGCTGCCATTCTTGGTGATGGATCCGTTGTGACATGGGGTAATTGTAAGCATGGTGGTGATTGTAGTGCTGCGCAGTATCAGCTGAAGAATGTGAAGCATATCCAAGCCTCTGCCTCTGCTTTTGCTGCCATTCTTGAGGACGGAACTGTCGTGACTTGGGGTGATGCTGCGAGCGGTGGCGACAGTAGTGCTGCACAGGATCAGCTGAAGAACGTGCAGCGAATCCAAGCCTCTAAAGCTGCTTTTGCTGCCATTCTTGAGGACAGAACTGTCGTGACTTGGGGTGATGCTGCGAGCGGTGGTGACAGTAGTGCTGTGCAGGATCAGCTGAAGAACGTGCAGCGAATCCCAGCCTCTAAAGCTGCGTTTGCTGCCGTTCTTGAGGGTGGTTCTGTCGTGACTTGGGGTGATGCTTCCCGCGGTGGTGACAGTTGCGCCGTGCAGAAACAGCTCCAGAATGTTTAGCAGATCTGTCTCTTTTCTGAACAGCTCAAATCCGTTTCTCTCTGCAAGGAAGGTGTGATCAAAGCACCGGTGAGGGGGGCTCGCAGCAAATGCCAATGTGCAGAGTCACTTGGTTCAGGGTACTTCTCACCCCAACTATCACTGTACTTATGACTTATGAGTCCCCCTAAGTCCCCTAAGCCGGTGATAAGTAGATTCATAATTGAATGATAATAGTCCGTCAATCATATATCTAAACAGTTTCTATGTATATATCATTCACATATATTAGTATCTGGATTCATAATTGCGGTTGTAAGTACCCATGAACCTCCAAGCACTCGAAGCCATCCTGGATCCGATGCACCGGGTGAGATCTTGTCCTCTTTTGGGTTTAGGGTTTAGGGTTTAGGGTTTAGGGTCAAGGAGGGGCCCCCTAGATGTAAGTAGAGGCTTAAGGACCCTAACTTGGGTTATAAGGATCCTAAGTTAGGTTATAAGTCCCTTCACTATAGCTAGTACAGTAATGTGAACCTCAAGCAGAAAGCCATCTTAGGGGTTGACTGTCCATCTGGATGTTGAGAAAACCTAAACCCTAAACCCTAAGTCCTAAACCCTAAACCCTAAACCCCAAACCCTAAACCCTAAACCCTAAACCATCAGGACCTCTAGCTGCTGGCTGTTGGGAAATGATCGAAGGGTAGTTCTATGAGCCCTTAACTTTGGCCCCTTACCTCCTTTAATCAAGGGTTAAGGTTTTTCTTAGGATTTAGGGTTTAGGGTTTAGGGTTTAGGGTTTAGGGTTTAGGTCCCTTGTTATCCCCTTCAAACCAAGAAAGGGTACCCTTTCTTTCTCCCGGGTTGCTCCCGGGGCTAGGCTTTAGGCAGCTTGAGAGTCTAGGGATTCTAGGTCCTTCACTGGGGCCCTGAGTTCCTTTTTTTGTTTTGGGCTTAGGGGTTTAGGGTTTAGGGTTTAGGGTTTAGGGTTTAGGGTTTAGGGTTTAGGGTTTAGGGTTTAGGGTTTCGGGTTTCGGGTTTCGGGTCTGTAAGGAAACCCTAAACCTTACACCCTAAACCCTAGACCCCAAACCCTCAACCCCAAACCCCAAACCCGAAACCCTCAACCCTAAACCCTAAACCCTAAACCCCAATTCCCAATCACCCCGAAACCTAGAACCTAAATCCTGACTTTTTTAAAACCCTCTCCTCCCCCCCCCCTCACGAACACTGCACCTACCGACAGCAGACCCTACACCCTGTAGACAAAACTTCTCTAAACCCTGAAGCCCTTTCCACAGAAGCCTCAACAAGCCACTGCTCAGATCAGGAAAGCAGGCGCAGGAAGAGACGCAGGCGCTCGTGACGCCGGCACAGCTTCGCAAGTCCTTGCCCAAAGCTCTCTACGGCGAGTGGCAGACCGACCAGCGCCAGACTCAGGCGACCGGATGGTTTTCCGGGGGGTTTCAGGGTTTAGGGTTTAGGGTTTAGGGTTCAGGGTTCAGGGTTTAGGGTTGAGGGTCTTCCTGGGACCCTCTTTACCTACAGTGTCTTTGGGTTATACCTACTGATTCAGGGTAGTTGCTACTGATCTGTAGTTGCAGAGGGTCCCAGGCTAGGTTGAGCTTTAGGCTACTTGGAGGTTCAGGGTAATTAAAACCCCAATTATGACTAGACTGATAAGCCTAAAACCTTAATTGTGGTTCTAAGTACCCATGAGCCTGCAAGTAGGCTGTCTACAAGGACTCTCACCTGAGGGTTTAGGGCCCTAAACTCTAAACCCAAAACCCCAAACCCTAAACCCTAAACCCTAAGCCCTAAACCCTAAGCCAGGGCTTCGAGTTTCGGGTCTCGGCCTCCATGTGTAACAAAGGGGCCTGAAGAATTCGAATAGGGTTTTGGGGGGAGTGTTATAATATATTTATATCAGGACCCTAAAGGAATATTACTATTAATTTTTCCGACCCCTATATGAAGGCGGGTTTGGGGGGATTGTTAGAATACATTCATTTAGGGACCTTAAGGGAATATTGTTCGAACATAATTCCGACCCCTACGTTAAGAGTTTCTGACCAACTCGATCAAAAGAGGCTTTTGCAGTTGTGAATGGGTCCAAAAGGATGGGGTTTGGGGTTTAGGGTTTAGGGTCAAGGGTCAAGGGTTTAGAGGGGCATCATCTGAACAATTCGTCTCCAAAAACCCTGTGCCCCTAACCCTAAATATGAATATCTCGAAGCAGGCCCTAAACCCTAACCCTAAACCCTATCAACCCCTGACCCCCCCCCCCCCCCCCCCCACACCCTAAACGCCAAACCCCTAACCCCCCAAAACCCTACATCCTCTGCCAGCCAGGCGAAGGCCAAAGCCAAGGCCAAAGCAAAAGCTGGCGCCTCGACGCGCCTGCGGAAGAAGACTCCCAACACCTCGGGACTGCTGGAGCTCCCTGCGCCCCCGACGCGCAAGAGAAAGGCGCGGGCTTCAGGGTTGTTTGTTTTTCTGTTTTTCGGGGTTTTAGGGCTTCTTAGGGGTTTATCGGGTTTATGGGGGTTTATGGGGGTTTATGGGAGTTTATAGGGCTTAGAGGGTTCATAGGGTTTATGGGGTTTGCAGGTTTTTTTTTTTTTTTTCTGCCGGCGCCCCCTTCACGCCACGCGGGTATTGTGGATAGGCTCTTCGGGTTGTTGGGATGTTCTTGGCTTTTTAGGGGTTTTGTGAGGGCTTTCCTCGGTCCTTGAAGGGTGTGTAGGGTTTTTTAGGGTTTAGGATTTAGGGTTGCCCTGGTCCAGGCTGAGAAAGTGAAGCTCGCCAACTTCGAGGCAGGGGACGTTCAAAATTGAATTAGTGAGGTGAGTGTTAGGGTTTAGGGTTTAGGGTTTAGGGTTTAGGGTTTAGGGTTTAGGGTTTAGTGTTTAGGGCCAGTTTAGGGTTTAGGGTTTAGGGTTTAGGGTTTATAGGGTTTAGGGTTTAGGGTTTAGGGAGGTACCTATGGAACCTCATAAAAATTGAAGTGGGGAGTATAGGGACGCTTGGGTGACGTACCCCCCCCCCCCCCCCCAAAAAAAAAAAAAAAAAGCTCCCTGAAGATCCCTAGAATTGAAGCCCAGAACTCCCCTTTTTTGGGTGTTTCCGATATTCGGTGTGCCTTACTGGGGGTCCTTATTGTAAGGGAATCCTGTTATTTGGGGGTCTATGTTACCCCCCCTCACTTTGCGCCTAAACCCTAAGGTTGCCCAAAACCCTGAGTCTCACATTCACCCTAAACTCTAAACTGGCCCTAGACCTACGGGCAATCTCACCAAAATCCCGACGTCCCCACATCCCTAAGCCCTAACCCTAGATTCGCCGTAAACCTCAAATCGTCCATAGCCCCTTCACACAAAACCCATGAGCCCTAAGCCCGAAGCCCTAAACCCTAAACCCTAAGCCCTAAACCCTAAACCCTAAACCCTAAACCCTAAACCCTAATCCCTAGGTGTGGCTGGAGAAGCTGAAGAATTGGCTCGATGCCCGGGGCTGCCTGGCATGTCGTAGGTGTACTAGAAAACCTAACGAAACCCTGAACCCGAACCCTAGGGTTGATAGGGTCTAAGGATAAGAGGAAAGGGGCTGCGCATGTGTTTAGTAGGGTTTAGGGTTTAGGGTTTGGGGATTAGGGTTTAGGGTTTAGGGTTTAGGGTTTAGGGTGTTCCAAAGTGCCGCGGTCCCGACCCGCGCCAGTGGTTGCGGGTCGGGCCGCCTCGGTGCAGCGGATCCCACCCCAGCCACCCAAACTGCCGCCTTTTTCGGGTTTAGAGCGGTCTACCCCCCACGGCCCCCCTATCAAGGGGGCTTACACCTCGAGTCTCCCCGCTGGCCGGGGTGGGACGTGTTGACTGCTGCTTTCCTGGATCAACAGGGAGCGGGACAATCTGTTTCACCCATACTGTGTTTCAGACACCCTCAAGCCCAATTCCGGACCCAAGCTCATTCATATGGCAGAATGGCGAGGGCCAAGCGCGGAAGGCCCGGCCACCCGCTGGCGCAAGGGCCCTGGCGGGGGCAACTGCGGGGGCAACCCTGGCACGGGCAACCCTGGAAGGGGCAAGGCGAGTTTTTTTGTATTAAAAATACTTTCTTATTTCAAATTTCTCTCTCTCCATATATATATATATATATATGTCAACCTTGGCGGGGGCAACCCTGGCGGGGCCCTGGCGGGGGTGACTACTAATGGGAAACCCTGGCAATTAATTAATAGAGAACTTTGACAGGGCCCTTCGCACTTGAAGCCCAGCTCGGCAACTAAACAAAACTTCATAGAGAAGGACGACGAAGCCTCGCCAGCGCGCGAAGAGGACGAGGTGCGTAGGGCCGTCGCAGAGAAGGTGCACAATTCCTGAGAAAGCGACGTGAGGAGGCGCGGAACCCTGCCAGGGCAACCCGGCGAGGGCAATGTCACCCTGGCGGGGGCAACCCTGGCGGGGCAACCCTGCCAAGGGCAACCCTAACTCGGCGGCAACCCTGGCGGGGGCAACGCTGGTGGGGGCAACCCTGGTGGGGGCAACCCTGGCAATGGTAAAACTGGGCAACCCGGCGGGGTTGCGATAAAAACCATTAAATCTACTGGACGTCTTAATTTTAACATAGAATGACATTGAAAGACTTCTCATAAAGTAAAATAGGATGAAAGATAATGAATCCTGCATTTTTATTTGGGGTACAGCTTTTAGCATAGCATATTGGCATAAGAAATACCATTCAGGTACGATATGTAAGGGAGTAAGTAATCCACATGCTTCTACTGCATTCACTGGATGTGAGAAAGAAGAGAAGCCGAAATGAATTTGAAGAAGATATAGATCGAGAATTAATATCTTTCCATAGAAATCTTTACTAATAATGAAAGGGGAAAATGCCATTTTATTATTAGTGGAATTCCTTAAAGGAATATTAGAAGATAGAAAATGTAGATTAAACATATGAAAAATGGCGGGGACAACCCTGACCATCCTGGCGGGCAACCCTGGCGGGGGCAACCCTGGCGG